GAGCAACAAGCAAACTATAACCACACAGCTTCCCACCTGTGTGTTGTGTGTGTTACACATCGCCATGGCGATAAATTTAAGCCCTCTGTCCGCTCGCAGCCCCGGGGAGGCATTGAACTCTAGCCCCTCCATAATGACTTTGTCTACCTATCGATCCAGCTATGATCCATGTACTGTAATTCTTATATCATCAGCCTCGGCCTTGGCAATAACTCCAAGTCATATTCTGGGGCCTCCCGTCCACTTGACAACTTAATGATGCAGGGGTCCTTGCCGAGTTTGGACATTCAGCCCCCCCTTCCCCTTTCCTCCTGCAGGGCTCTAATTTCTCCTTGTTCTTTTAGACTAATACCAGCAGAGGCAGAGGCAGAGTACTCTCTGAGGACTCCTCTCCCAGAACCACATATCTTCTCCTCCTCACCTCTGTGTGCATGCAGTATAGCACAGGGTTAGTGTCTGGGACTGCAGTGCATCTGTCTCTGATTTGGAGCACAGCCCCTGCAGGCTGCCGAGGAGACTCAGCCGTCCCTCTTTAGACCCTGTTCTTTTTCTCCCTCTGAGCCGGAGCTATATTTCATTGTCATTTCAACCCTGTCCTCCTAGCCTGGATGTAATAGCTGGAGATATATGGCCCTCCGCTTCTGCAGCCTTCTGAGCTTCCTCAGCCTTTTATAAAACACTGTCAGGGTGACAAAACAGCAGCCCATGGGTATTCGGGCACAGATGCCCCCCTCATCCAGAGGCAATTTCTCAGCATCCCGCGCTGATCCTTTTAGCAAAGAGATAACATCTGGGTCCTTGGACAGGATGGGTGTGAACAGTCAACCTGGACAGATTGTAGCTCATCTCTATCACTCTGTGTGCCTGTGAGCCATAGTCTGTCTGTCAGCTCTGTTTTTATAAGAGCTGATTTAGGGAGCTTTGAATCCTGAGCGATTGTGATCCACAGGAGCATGATGGACCTGATACTGCTTATCCAGGAGCTTCAATCTGTCTAAGCAATAATCTACTCATATGTTTCATAATCTAAAGGTAAAGAGGAAAAGATATGGGGGCTCTTATGGAGCTCCACCTTGCCGCAGAGACTAATAACTTCTTAAACCTCGAAGACAAGGCCCTGATTGAGATGTGAGTAAAAGAGGGGAGGAGGAGGAGAGGAAGCAGATGGCCTCTGCAGACAATTAAAGCTGCATGTTCTTGTTCTTCCACTTTATTTCTGCCACTCTCTTCATCCGCATTGACTTCAATCCTCTTCATATTCATCTACCTCACATTTCCTCCCCCTTTCCCCCTCGCCTGTTCATGTCCATTTCAGTCTTTGCTCCCCTCCTTCCTCTTACTCTCTCCTATAAGCAAGACACACAATCACTATCTCCTCTCTTCTCTCCTGCACGCCACATCTCTCTACCTCCCCCCTCCCCTCCCTCCCCCCTCAAGCCTTAATTGGGAGTCAGGGAGAGCAGTGGAAATCGCATTAACGCGGGCCCTGCCTGGGTGTGCCATCCATCTTCTTTTTTATTACGCCGCGCCGGGGCTGCCTGGGCTCTGCCGTTCGATTTGTCACCGGCCTCGTTCGCTGATAACAGGCATTTGTCATCGCCTTGCCTCCCTGTTAATGTTATCATCTCCTCCCTGACAGCCGCCCTCCGCCGGGGAGCGCCGGCGACAAAGCACATCCGTCAAGCGAATATTTCCACGGCTAAGGGGACCGCACACTGCAATAAGCCACATTAAAGCACTTATGAAGGGTGCAGGCCGAGTGTGTGTGTGTGTGCGTGTGTGTGTATCTGTGTGTATATCCACCGGTGCCAGGATGATGCGCACTGGAGTGTGCGCTGCGTGCGCATAGACATCCCCATACTTGGGCGCGCAGGAGCGTGTAGTGCGCTTGTCAGTGCCGTAAAAGAGGCGAGGTGGGGGCCGACAGGGAGAGGAAGAGGTAATTTGTTGCAATTAATTACGCAGTGAGTGTGGCTTTGTTGTGTGGGAGAGCATTTTATCTGTTGGAATGCTTCCTTCGCCAGGCTGTGATGCTATTTGTTTGATTTATAGCCTCTGCCTGCCCGAGGCGGAGTGAGCCTGCGCGTGTGACTTTGTTTTCACACGTGCACAATCCTGTTGGCATTATCCACAGAAATATACTGTAGTCTCAGTGACAAGCAGCCTTTTGTTTGATGGTGAAGTTACATATGAACAACCGTCAACAGAGCCTGCTTGTCCTCTCAGGACTGAAACTCTACCGTCCATTTGTCATTCAGCAGCAAATCAACAACTCCAAAGACTGACTCTCAATCACCCTGCTCGCTTCACCTTTCCCCCCTCCTCCTTTCTGTGACAGGATGCCGTGTCTCAGAGTACTTTGGCACCAAAACCCCAAACAATCCACGCGTGATAGCGGGTGTTTCTCACACTGGCCTGCTGGACCCTCTGCTCTCTTTTCCTCTGTGAGATCAGGACAAGCAGGGACGTGACAACATTTATCCATTCTGCCTCTGTTGGGGGTTTGCATGGCTCTTGCGCAGGGGCTGACAGATGGATCAGCCAGCCTAAAGGCAGTGGGAAGAGATGAGAGGGAGAAAGAGGGAGGAGTGCCACTTTTCATCCTTTGACATACTGTATGACTCCCAAATTTGCCTTGCAACGTAACGTGGTGAAATGGCAAGTCTGCAACTCTAGCAGTGACTACAGTCACTCATGGTGATGGCATGTTTCACACACTTAAATTAAGCTGCTTGTTCTGTGAGTCTCCTCATTTTCGATCATACAGTTTGAGTAGAACAACATATCAGGAAAAGGCCAGAGTTAAAGCCTTTAACACCTCAATGTCATTAAGCCATTAAGTAACTGAAAATGAAGTATTTTTTTGTAGGAACCAGAAATAGAACCACAGATAATATTCAATAATACAAATGTTGCATGTTTCTTACAACAGACAGTGATAGACATGTTGAGATGATTTCTTCTCCTACAGAAGAGGATGAGAAGAAAACATCACAAGTTGCCTGTTAATTCAGCCCTTAACATTTTTACTAATAATTTACAAACCACCAATAGGCCCTTAACATGAACACATTTTGGTCTGCCATGTTATAAAAAAACATATATTTTGATGTAATATTTATACCTCCAGCATTACACTTGAATCACCTCTGACCTTCAAAAGAAGCTGTAGAGCACATGAAATAAAATCCATTACAGTTTATAGCTAACTTCTTAGCCACTTGGGGGCACCACAAACAACATCAACACCATATGGAGTTGTGATGAGCCAACTATCACAAAATGTGTTGTTTTGACAGGTTTCTCTTTTTACTCTATTGTAAATAAAAATATTGATTTCTTTACTTTCTAAATCCTCTGTGCACTGCCTATTTGTATTGTGTCCGTCTTCTGTTTAGTGCTGAGCAGGTGTACGCCTGATTTTTAGAGCTTTTTGATTTAAACTGAATCAAACAGTAATGCTAAAGGCAGCGCAGCTTAAAAATGCTCATTGGGTTGTTTTAAATTTCACATGTATTAGTTTCATGTTATATAAGTAATGAAATGGTAAACGTTATTTTGTTTCGTTTCTTTGGAGAGTTATATCATTCCTGACAATAGTTCAACCCTTATTGTCATTTTTGTATTTGTATGGCAGCAACTTCTTCTAATCATCACAGCTGAATAAAGGTGAAGTAAACATCGGCCAAAATAAACTACTGTAATATACTGTATGGAAATAGATCTGTGTCATTTATGGTTTGGACTTAGACAGATGATTCATGACACCAATGGAGTATCACTCGATTGGCTAGAATCAATTGCTATTCCTTGGATTCCCAGATGTTAAATATGATTTTTTTTGCATATGAATTCCTACACTTCATATTTTGCATCTGAATTTGTGAACAATGAAATGAAAGATTATGAGTACATTGAAGAGTTGAATTCAGAGGCAAAACATGTAGATACTAAATTACAATGTTTAAATATTTAGTGCTAGAAATTCAAGGCTATTTAATGTCTAAATCAGATGACAGATTTAGTAGCACAAAAGAGCTGCTCTGTATTTTAATGGCAGTGGGAAAAACTCTGAATATCAGTTTCTGTTTTGGGATATAATTGTTGTCTATTTACTTGTGATAAAAATCTGAAATCAGCAAAAAAAAACAAAGGAGAAAGAGTCAGATTTCTGTTTAAACACATGTTTATTAGAGAAAGGTCTTCACTTTTTATCTCTCATTCTCAATGACTCCGTGAATTATTTTACAAAGAGCTCCTTTCAAACAACACAGCAGTAAAAGAACCTGCAAGCAAAGTTGTACAGCTACCTATATGTGATATACTGATAAATAAAAACTCTTTCAGAAGCTTTACATACATATAATCGGGCAAGACGTATGAGATGACTACTACAGTAGCCGTTGAAATCCACATCTCTTATGTTAAGAGACACAAAATAACAATCTGAGAGAAAGAAACAACAAACACAAGCTCACATTGTTCCTCGGGATATTCAGTCTAACACTTTGAACAGGCAGGGACAGTAAATGTTACATTTGAGTGACACATCAGGATGGACTTCTGGATGCACAGCCCGCAGAGGAGTTATTGCCGTGTCACTAGATAAACATTTAAACTCTGAATTAAGGAACAAAGAGAGAACAGTCAACACTGACAAGAATCACAAAATGATCATGGGATGTGTTTACACAATGTGAAGCTAATGTGGAAATTAAAACCTTCTTAAAAAACTGTTAGAAATCAACTTAGCTCCCATAAAAATGCTTTAAGATGCAGAGAAATTGATTAAAATGTCACTGATGGTTGATTTGAAACGCATGACTGCGTCTCATGCATTACCTCTGTGTCAAATGTTGAACAGGAGATACACTTCCACTGTGGATGTACTGTTAAAACAGGATCTATGCTGTGTACAGATAGTGACCGCTGTCAGAATAGATGCATTGGTGGCAACAAAAGTTTCACTGCTGTCATCTACCTGGAAACGATCGTTTATCTCATGACTTCATTTTTTCCTCTTCAAGGGTTCCATAGCCGTTCATCATGGCTAATTTGAGAAGGCCATTACTAGTCAACTCTTCCTTCAGTATGTCGTTCTTGACAGCAAACATCTGGCTGATTTCCATAAAGGTTTTGTTCTTGGTCTCAGGGATAATGAAGATGGTGTAGACGGCCACTCCCAAGCAGATCGCACAGAAGATCAGGTAACAGTAAGGACCTGTAGCGATCTGTAGGTGGAGGAAACTTTGTTACTTTGGGTAAAATAAATAAAAAATCAAACAAACAAATACTGCTCTATCTTTACAAAGTTTACACTGATCAATAAAAGCAAAAGAAGGGTTTGGAGATAAACTGTCATAGCTCAGATTATCTCAAACATAGACAACAGCTCACTGCAAGGAAATTTGACATCTTAGCAAAATGGGAAATAGGCAGGCATTGAAGAACAAAAAACAAATGAATCTGATGTAAAAATGACTGGAGAACAGTGGACTACAAGTTGTATGTATAACTTAGGATCATTTTTAAAGCTCAGCCTGTAATTTCCAGATCTAAACATTTATGAACGACATATCAAATTACATTTTGTAGTAGAGGGATCACAGGAGTTGTGGTAGCCTGACAACCAACACAGTATTGAAATCCTGTTGCTTTAAGTTAACGTTATTATTTTTCATGCTATAGCCCCATTATGCTATGGCTAATGATGTTAGCTAATGTAAACTTTGAACAAACTTCTTACTGAGCTGTATCACCAGGTGTTCCCTGTGTTTCCCTCGAAAGAAAGTCAACAAATCAAAATGCAGCACACGTTTGAATTAAACTGAAGCTATCTCTGAGTTTGATTATTTTGGAAAAGCAATGGGGATCATTAAGTAGGCTACATATGATCTATATTAGCTGTGTTGAAGATATATTCAGGTGGAAAACTTCAACACATTGATTGATTAATTGACCAGTAAATAGTAAGTTATTTAGATAATTGGTTAGCCAGTTAGGTAGCTAGTCAGTCTTTCATTCAATCAGTCAGTCAGTTAGTTAACTAGTAAGTTAGATAGTTAGTTGATTAAGTTAGCTGGTCAATCAGACAATTCGCTAGTTAGTTAGCTAGTCAAACAACCAGCTAGTTAACTAGTTATTTAGCTAATTGTTAAGCTAGTCAGTTTGTCAGTAGGTTTGCCAGTCAGCTAGTTAATTAGCTAGTCGGTTGACAGCTAGTCAGTCAATCAGTCAATCAGTCAGCTAATTAACTAGTTATTCCACTAGTTGTTCAGCTAGTCAGTCAGTCAGTCAGTCAGTTAGTAAGATATTTGTTGTGTCTTTTGACTTGCTAGGTTGACAAAAAGTAGCTGATATAATGCTTATACCTTAGAATAACCAAACAATCTCAGTTTCTCATTATTAATGGGAGTCACCTTTATTCAGCCAACTTTAGGATAAAGAGTTCTGAATTAGTTGCACATCTTAATTACACATAATGACATAAGTTGCCCAAATTGAAGTTTGCTCTGACCTCTAGGAAAGGAAAGACAAAGCCAATGGTGAAGTTGGACATCCAGTTGAGACATCCTGCCACCGTGTAGGCTGCTGGCCGGTGAGACTGCTTAAAGAGCTCAGCAGTGATCAGGAATGGCACACCAGCTACACAGAAAAGACAAAAACACAGTTTAATATTTTAAGAAAAGAACACATTTTGACAACAGAAACCACTCGATTCATTCCGTCATGGTTGGCTCCACGTTTCTTTCATCCATTGGTCTGCTCTAACTAGGCTTCCTGTCAGGCTGTCATAAAACAACTCACATTTAAACACTCAGTACTGCTGTAAGAACCTATTGGGTGTAGTGAAATTAACAACAGCGTCTTCATTCATCAATTAACTTATCAATATTCCCACTCTGGACTATTCTCTGGTAGTCATTCAAAGAAACAAAATGCAATATAACAATTGATAAAGATTCATCAAGCACCAATGTTATGATACTACTGGTGTTTTTTTTGCATGTACTTAATTAAATTCATTACTAATACGCCATGGTCAGAGATTGACAATAGAGGATGATGTTTTTAACTTGGTCAAACTCCAAAACACCAAAAATGATAGCTTAAGAAGAGCTTTAGCAACGTTTCATGAATTTGATATACAGAATCCATGAGTTTTATTCTTAGCCCAGAACAGATAATTCTTCATTGTTAAAAGTGAAAGCTATGAAGGAGAAATATGCATTAATACGCTCCACTGATGAGCTTTCCAAATGATGTCCTCATTATCTGTGCATGATAATTGCATAGAGGACGGTTTAATATTGTCAAACCAATAACTAAGGCATAATTTGTCAAGATCTGTGGTATGTATGGAGGGGAGGGAGGGGTCATTGTGCATGGAGGGGCTTTGTCTGAAAGAAACCGTATTCATCCCGGCTAGCTTATGAACAATGAGCCATTAAATGTCTAATTGCAGCAGCAGAAATCCTTGTCCGTGTGCAGAGCTATAGATTCTGTTGGCTTGACGAATGGCACTGTGTAAACCACATTCATTCTAATTCATCATCCTCGCAGGTCCACTCAACGCGGCTCCTAAAGTTGTAAACTATTGCCTCTTAATTCACTTCACTCATCCAGTGTACAAATGGCTGCGGGAATGGATGTAGTGTGGCACTTATGATTTCCTAATTTACAAGACTAATGAAATACAATATCTCTTCACAGTCAGGAGGAGCAGGGAGGGAGAGCAGCTGCTGTCTGGACTTCGTGCGTGCTGTTGTGCAACCCTCCAGCAGGGTGCAGTGTTATCTTACACACAGGCCAAAACAAGAGCCGCATGTATGGACTGGAGTCAGATTATATAAAAAAGAGGAGTTTGAGGTGCAGAGAAAAAAGATTTTACAGATTACCTGGACCTATGCAGAAGCCAGCAATTATTCCAACGACGCAGGCCACACTGATGTAGCGCATGAAGGACAGCTGTGTCTGTGATGGGTCAAACACAAGTCAAGAGTTGGAAACATTAAGAGACAATTGCGAAGTTTTTCTTGACTATTCACTTAACTTTGTTTATATATTTTTTTACAGAACGAGTGCCATGCAGGGCTCCAGAACATTTATTTAATACAATAATTACTTTGTGATGTAACAATGCTAAACACATATGCAGTAGTTTTCCACATTCACTGGATTCACCACATTTTTTTAAACTAATAGTGTGGTAAATTTTTATTTTTCGCTTAAAAAATATAGTTTATAATTTCACCACATCATCGACACATATCTTGCTTATGTAATCATATCTCTTGTTCTTTCCGGTCGTGAACAGATCCTTCCCTAATGTGGTTTCAGTGTAAATGACAGGGGACAAAATCCACAATCCTGCATCCCTGCAGAAGTGTATTAAAAAGTTCATACAAAGTTACTTTGAGGTTTCTTCTGTTTGAGTTGGACAAAGCCAATGGATAATTCAAACTTTCCTCTTCTGGTGACCACATTCCTCTGTGGTGGCACAGGGAAACACATGGAAAATAAACAAGGTAATACACCGCTAGAAAGAGAATCAATTCTGTTTATATCCACTTGGATTAACTCTGGCTGCCAAAGCCTTACTAAGCTTTAAAATACATTTTGCACACGTGGGGAATGGATTTTGTCCTAAACCCTTATATCAATATAAAAATGACAAGAGACTCCAACAATCAATGTTTGTTTCAGTGTTGATGCAAGTGACCGTTTCTTTTAACATTTGAATGCCAAAATAATAAAACCCACAGCTTTGGGTTTATGTAACTGATTTTGTGAATGTGGTAGTGTTCCCAATTTCATAACCTGCAGCTCAAAGTTTCATATTCCAAAAAAGAGCAGGGCAGGAGATGCAGCTGTACCTGAAAGAGGATAGACACTGTGATCCCACAACAGCAGAGTCCCATAAAAAGGAAGCCGCCGATCATCAGAGGTCGTCTGCCCAGACGCTCGATCGTGAAACACTTCAAAACAGACAAAGAGGAAACACAGATCAAGATGAGCTCAAAACTAATCGAATCATGAAGGAAAAAAAACAAATTCTTACATCTGACTATTAAAAATGTAGTCCATCATGTCTACTGGTTCAACCCAACAATAGAGGAAGTATTCTGTGTTTTTCTTTGGTGCAACACATAGTGCCCCAATTATTAGCCATTTGGTCTAATCTGGCAGATTCAAATCACACTGATGTTGATAAGTGAGCAAGTCCCTTAAGTAATGAATATCAATAAAGAATCTAATTGTCTCTTTTTCTCAAAGGACAAGCGGTACATACCACCGCAGTATTAAAAGACCTTTTTCAAAGCAGAATTTACGACAGTAAGAGCAGACTGTATTCACAAGGATTGCTTCGTTAATTATTGCAATAAGATAGCATCCATGACACCAGTATCTGGAATTAGCTTGCCTGGAAAACAGTAGTTGTTTTGAATGTAATCAATTTCAGTTGAGTATTTCGACCAGTGAAAGGTCAAAATGTCTGCTGTGAGAAAGGTCTGTCACCTGATCAATTGTGTAACAGCCTTTATATTATCCTCAGTCATCCACAACCCAAAAGTAACTCATACAGATCATTAAAAACCTTAAACAATGATACAATAAAATAACAATCTTTATGAAAAGAAACAGGTCATTAATGACTACATGAACCGTCCATTTAAGGGTTTAAGTTCAGTCGGTGAAGAGTTAAAACCAAGCAAATCCAAAGGGATTGAGATATAAATTGAGAAAGATTGTTTTCACTTGGCAAAAACATTTCTACTGAATCTTCAATTCACTTTTTTTTTAAATATGGTAACTAACTAGTCTGTCTTTAACATTTACAAAATACACTTTTGAGTCACACGATTAATAAGCAAAGCCATATTTGCATAATGTATTTTTTTTATGTTGTGTTTATTTTACAGTTGGAATTCCCCCAAAGATGATAAATTTTTCTGTAAGTAAGCTCTTTCTCACAAGGTAGGGTTTTTATTTTTACTTGATTGATGTCTTAAAGGGCCGTCACTTAAGTTGTAGTTTGAATTATGCTGATGTAGCTCTAAACAACAAATGTTTATTTCATCATGAAACAATATTTCAGTGATTTTCAATATAAAATGAAAACAACAAATTCAAAAAGTCAGTTTCTGTCTAAATGCAACCAAAAGATGTTGCAATGATATAGAAGTGACGAGGCAGAAAATCTGCTAATCAACTGGCTGTTTGAGCACCATTAAAACACGTTCATGAAGTCATGACAAAATGATGTCATCTTTAAGAAGTGATCATTAGTACTCACCCCGAGCATCCCAGAGATGACCTCAATGGCACCAGTTCCCACTGTGGTGTACTGAATGTAAGGGTCTGGGATTCCTGCGTTCTTAAATATTTCATTGGTGTAGAACCAGATCTGAAATGGACAGTTACATGAAGTTTTATTGATGTGGTCAATTTGAAGTCACAAACACAGACAGATTGTTTGAGACTCAAATGTCTGATTTTTTGAGGACACTTATTTGGTGTTTCCACGTGATTCATCATTGTGATCATTATCATACCGTCAACCATCACTCATGCATTTGAGCTACAGCGCTTCATCAGTATGGACTTCTGACAAGAGCTCCCCTTGAAATTAATTTGTGTTTTCTCATTAATCACACTTTGCTGATGCAACATCCATCATTGATGAGGTGTGGACACGATCGTAATTGGTGGGGTAAAATGCTGTCTTGTTGATTTAGTAACTATGCATATACAATTTCATCACCATTGCAGCACTGACATTTTTTACACACGTGTCCTTTATCAGAGCAGAAAAAACAAACATTAACACATTTGACAAAGCACAAGAAATGGCACCAGATTAATTGTTTTCTAAATAATATAACTTGAAACTGAAATTATATACGATTTAGCTGAAATCTACCTCAAATGCGGTTTTATTTTTCATAATCAAATACACTTGTGCATTTCAACATACACACAACCAATAAGACAGTGTTGACTCTCAGGTTTATTTACAGCCATAACTGTGAGGAATAAGTATTTTGTTTTTCAGTGCTCTATCTTTACCCGTTCATTCATCTAATTCTAGAAAGCCGCTGTAAGCAGAGCAGCTCTGGCACATTTCCCTCTGGTCCTCCTTCAGTTCATCAAGGCCAAACCCAAGCTGTTCCGGACCTGTCCAATGATGTCCCTTTGGTGCATCTGGGTGTACAACAAGGTCCTCTCCCACTTACACAGCCAGAGGGAAGCACCTTAAGGCCCCACATGCACCTATCTGAATCAACTACTCTGAATCCTCCAAACTCCAAGGTCTTCCTGGATCATTTAGCTCCTCGCCCAGTTGAGTGCACGTTCTGTAATTGAAATCAGTTCTACCTATAGGTGATGGATTAATCAGGAGTCTGGGATCTTTATTTCTATAGTAATTGAACAAAAGCTACCTGACAGAGGCTTTCATCTGTATTATTTAGCTTGATTTGTTAAACAAAAACTCCTCCACCTTAACCGTAAGCAAGGAGGAGGAAAGGGATCTTAAAGACTCGATCACTGATCATGTGTACCACAAATCACAGTTTTTTAATGTTAGTGTACTAACCGTGAAAATGACATCATCATCTGCAAAAGGACAGAGATGTGACTGTCTTGACTTACTATAAGATCACTGAACCTGCTCAAACATCCACAATTCTGTCTTTATCTAGCTTGTAACATCATGATGAGTCCACAATCATCTGTCAAATGAGTCAATAGCTACAAATAAAGTAACAAAGTTTGGTTTTTCTTAGACATTGACTCGTTTCCACATAATAAAACCCTGCTGATTTTATTTTTGTCAAGCTTTTAATCAATTCATCCAGTCTTTTCCCCTTGTTTCATGGATGGTTACCTGTTTTAGCCCTACTGTAAAGTGACTTTAAGAGAATAAAATGATGTATAAAAATGTAAATTATATATATTTGCTGTATGAATACCTGAAAAGTTAATGCAGGCATGTGCAATGTGTTGCCAAAGTACTGAGATGAAGTTTACAGTAGGAACCAGAGAGAAAATGTGCAACACACAGCGATAATAAAACAAATAGTGTGCTGATGTGACACCAGTCAGATGTGGGGACTTCATATGATGTAGCCTCGTGTAAGTTTACACTAACACAGTGGACAAGGAGATAATGAAGGTTGTTCCTATTGCTCCCTGCTTAATCACTCAGAGCTGCATGTGGGATTGTGATGTATGGACAGGAGGAGGTGCAGATGGGTAGAACACAGCTGGGCACGACATCAGTTAGAGCTCTCACTTTCAATATTACAACTGTACAGTCATAGCCACACCTAAAATATGAGCACAAGAGCACAAAGACAAAAATGGAATTGATGCTTTTCACACTCACTGCGTCAATTCCGGACAGCTGCATGCCGATGTTGACCACTGAAATGGTGATGACCTGCCAGCGAACACAGCGGTCTGCGAGCAGGCCGCGGACGGAGAGGGTTTGAACTGAGGACAGAGAGCGCTGCTCCTCCTGCATCTCCTCAACCTCTGTCTGGATGTTGCCTTTAGTACGGAACCACTTTAGGGCTAAAAGGACAGAGAAAAACTTTAGATTTTACCCACCCTGTCTCCAACATTGACTTAAAATTCATGAGGAAACTAAAGCTATGAAATCAAATCTCTTCAAAAAACAGTGAGATAAGTTGAGGCAGCCATGCAAACACTCAGAATATGCAGATAACTCGACATACAGTCAAAAACCTGCAACACAGAGTAGCAACACAAAGCTTTCCATGACCTAAAGTGTATTATCTGAAACCAAATGATCAAAAAATATAATATCAACAAAGGAATATTGTTTACAAAGATGAATAAGGTATCTCAAATTCAAGGTTTAAGTGAAGTTTAAAGTAGGCAAACATTACAACTTAACCTTAAAGTGGGCTGAATCCATTCAAATGACAATCTAACCTGTATATTAATAACACAAACTTTAACTATGTGACCTTTATTTCATGATCTTTGATTAATGATCAATTCTGTCAAATGTAAAGCATGTGATTAAAAACATTACTCCGCTTCTAACCTGCGATGGTGGCATGAACATTTCCCTTCTCTATCAACAGGTACCGTGGACTCTCTGGAAACCATGGCAACAGCATCAACTGGACCAAAGTTGGAAACACTATCAGGGAAAGGAGCAGAGGCCAGTGTTTTTCCTGTGTTGGGGGGAAAAAAACAACACCTATTTAAAACTCAACTGAATTTATCAATCAGCAAGTTCAACGTTTAAAGCCTCCATCTACAATAACCTGAAAGACAGTCATTAGGATGCAGCTAGAGGATGACGGGGATTAAACCAAAACACTGTTTGTTTAACATAATTTCTCTCTCCAGCCGTCCTTTTAAGAGCCTACTTAGACTTCATTGGCTGCTCATGCCAAACTGAAATGAGATGGTCTACTCTACTATTTCTCACAGTTTGGTGCTAACACAGTGAAACGCTGTCTGCGTTGTAAGATTTGGGTATTCAGCAGATGGCTGTTCAACAACATGAGTCTGGTGTTGCTCGACGTTTCTGCCTGTTAAAAAGCAGTTGTTCTTTTCCACTGTGTGTGTTACTTTGCTGTTGCTTTGTGATGTGTGCAGATTAACATTGGGTCTTTGTAGATAATATAACAGAGAGTAAGGTCTTTTACCTAAAGAGTCTTGAGAACATGTGTAAGGAATTGGCACTATACAAATAAAGACTGGTTAATTAATTGATTGATTTGACACATGTATACAAGAAGTAGCTTGATTCTGCGGCTTTATTTGTTGGGACATGTTATATGACTAAACATAAGCGATGTGGTATAAGTAGCTCTTGGCCACTTACATCTTTTCAAAGCAGCTTAAAGTTGAATAAAGAGGGGAGACCAACTGTTTAAGTGATAACTTATAACTTAGGCTAAAACTTTGCGATGGTTTATTTGAATACACTGATACACTTAAAATTGTTCTTAGCTCAGATCTAAGTAAAATATTTGATGTGTTTCTTTCAAGTAACAAAAGGACTAGTTATATCAGGGACAGAGAAAAGATGACAAATATTTATCCGATTCAGGAGGAATCTGTCCTCACTTAGACTGGAGCAGCATCGGTCCAGAGATGGGAGAATTTATCTACAAGCATGTGAGACCTGAGTAGCGATTAAAAGCTGTAGTACCTTTCCCAGAAGCTCATGCAGTCCCAGAACCTGAGCACAGAAGACTCCGAGACAAATGTGAATGCTGGGAACCAGGCCAAGAAAACCTCGAAGGTTCTTTGGGGCAATCTCACCGAGGTACATGGGCACCACACTGAGAGAGATACCTGTTGTTTTTTTTAAAGGTGGAGATTGAAATGAACAAAGATAAGCCCCACCTAATCATTGTTAAAGATCAACAAAGTAACTTTCCTTCATACGTCAATATGTCTCCCTAAGCTCATAGTTTAGTGTCTTAGGATAAGCAGCTTACTATTAAGTTGTAATACGGAGACTGAAAATCCACAGAATAAGAGAATTAAGTAGGAAAAGGCACTAATGAACAAAATCAAGACATAAGAAGCTCTTTCGAGTAAAGGATCACAATTTCCAGTAATACAACTGCAAAGAGCAAAACGCACGTGAAGCAACTCTGCATGTTTGCAACAACAATGGACACATGTTACTCATTTCAGCCTGTACATAGCAGCAAAATATCACTCACAACATTGTTATTAATTCATGATTTCAGGAAACAGGCATGCCTACCTGAGTGTACTCCTACAATGAAGCGTCCAAGAATGACCATCACAGGCATCCTGCACCCTCTGCTGAAGCCCATTAGAGCTGCTCCTATAAACACCAGCACCGAGGCTCTCACCAGCGTCCCTTTCCTGTTTGGACACACAGTGATCCGTCTTTACTCATCTTCCTTCCATGATTTGGTTTCACACCCAAAAATGTACACACACACTGACCTTCCATATTTGGTAACAAGTTTGCCCACCAGCAGGGCCCCGCACATCCCGCCAATAGCAAAGATGGACACGGTGAGGGAGTACAAGACGGTGAGGAGCTCCTCGTCTACAGTCCAGTCGTAATTTTCCACCAGCGTCTCATTGTAGAAGTCTTTGATGTACTGGAGGAAGAAAGGTGAAATAAAGTTAACATATATTCTTCAGCAATAAAAAAGATCAGCACAATCATAACAATATCAGCCTATGCTCGACAAAAAACATGCAGATGTTGCCACCTGTTATGCCCCTTTTCCAAATAGCCTATTTCCCCTCATCTTCTTTGTCTTTACAGAATAGTAACTTTCCTTGCAGAATGTCCTATACGTGTTCGAACAGAATACTTCAAAGAGAGACAATAATTAAAAAACAACTATATAAAAACTCAAAATGACGCACAGCGAAAACTAGAGGCCTGAAATAAGATTCTGTGGTAAACTACAGAAAAAATCCAAATATCAACAATAATACTGGAAAAGAACAATAGGCTGCACCGGGGGATGTATCAAAGAGAGTATACCCACTTCTTCAGGTAACACCATACCACTGCATACAACAAACATGATAAAAACAAACATTAAAGAGTCTCAAAACAATTTAGAAACAACAAGACATTCAAATACTAAATCAAGGCCAATAGACAGGGGGAAAGGATCGGGTCGTGGGGACGGAGGGAAGCGTTGCACTGAAGGGAAAGGTTTGTTTTGGCTTGACAGACAGGTGCTAAAGTCCGACATCAACTGGGCATTTACTCTGGAAGTCAAATACTACACCTTTAATTTGACAAAAAAACTCTGACATCCTGGTACAGTTGAAGACACACTGTTCATTATCTCAGCACATGCAGGAAACTGTAAAACCTGGCAGTCAGTGAAATGGTCTCATAAACAGCTGATCGGTTTAATAGTCACACATGTTCATTAACACCGTCCTGGTGGCTTTACTAGTTCAGACTGAACACAAAGCTGCTTTTTACAAGAGAAGTCCTTGACACATCATGCAGGCATGCAGGTGTGGATTAGCAATACCAATAATAATCCAATATTGATCTGTTTGAGGTTTTAATTGCCCTATTGCCAAATATTATTCTGTTATTAAGACGGGGTTGACCCGTTCAAAAAGAAAACAGCAAAACAGAAAGAGCTTTTAGAGTGATGTTTGTTGGTGAAACCTCGACATGGACGGTGGGAAAGTTGAACAGACAAAGATAGTTAGATACAGCAACATACCAAGCAAGACCTTGAATTCTGCAACGACACAGCAGTAGTTGCATTGTTTTCACTTTTAGTCTGATCTTTTACTACAATAAGTTAATGTTACAAACATAACATTTTCATTTTCACTTATAGTTAAGTAACGTGTGGTTGTATTCTCATTTTACCTCACATTAATTTAACAAATCAGTTCCATGCAGTGAAAAAGTTATTTGATTAAAATCAGAAGAAAAGGCAAAAAAAGCTTATTTCCCTCCCCTTCTTCTTTGGGGGCATGCGGTAAATCAGCAAAAAGTAAAAAAGTAGAGTGAAGAAGAAACAGGTGAAAAGATCTGAAAAGTGCTACTTTACTCGTGCAACATTGTGCCTTTGTGACGTGTTCCTGCTCAGAATAAAGACTTTTAGAAGTATAAAGAAGTCGTAGATTAAAAACACATGAAAAGATCGCCACTCAAAAGTGGTAATTTCCTGCCTAATGTAAGCCGATGAAAAGGTTTTCTGATAAAGTTTTGGAAGTACGAGACACTAAAACCAGGTCACTGGTTCTTGAAATGACCGATACAAATCTCTCCAACCATTGAAGCCTCTTCACAGCCAGCTATCCTCCCCCACACCTCAAATCTGATTTGAAGCACGCTTGAGTAACTCATGTCAGATGACACACAGCACTTGACAGTGAATCCAACAAAAGGCACTGAAGTCACATGCTTAAAGGATTCACCTCACCACATTAGTGCTATATGGAAAATGTGCGTGAATGAGCAATTGTCTACAACTGAACTTTTGGAAAATGGATACTGGTGAACAACCGGATTTGATTTTTTTTAAAAAGTTTTAAGCAGTTAAAGTGATGTCATAGTTAACCTTAACAACACTTAATATTTATTTTTCATAAACCAGGCAGCCAATCAAAATGAATGACAATATCACTGTATGCCAACAATCAAAGTATCGTCTTTAAAGGTGATTATAAAAGATCAATGTTGTGTTCATAACTGAATTTACCCACTCAAAGCAGAGAAGTTCAGATTATGCATGATTTATGCAGTTTGATATTTCTAGCAACTCCCTGTTCATCATCCTGCCAAATGTTTGATAAAAAGTTAAATCACTTATGTCTATAGACCTTCTTTGAGTTGGGTATTCATTCGCTTAGCATGGGACTGAGAGCAGGGGTAGCAGCTAGCATGGCTGCTAACAAGAAACTGATGCAGTGTGTCATTCCCCATAAAACGATACGTCTTTTATTTATGTCTCTGATTTAGCACAAAAAAGACACTGCAAAAAATCAAATCTAAAAAAGTGTCATTGTAAGACATGTCTTTGTAAAACCTCCCATCGAAGGCCTTGAAAATGAAGGACTGAATTTTTTGTAAAAAGTAAAAAATATCTGACACCGCAGCAAGCAATTTTACCTGTATCTTGAAGTAAGATGTACTAACTCATTTAGATATATCCAGCTCATTTCAAGACACAGCAAGTCAAATGTGCTTGCTGAATTGGTAGATATTATTACTTATTTCAAGAAATTTATGGGGACTTTCCAGGTGAATCTGGCTAATAATAAGTCAAATGAGTTCAATTGTATTTGAAACAAAAACAAACATTGTGAATATTTTAGTTTTAGCAGTGCAAAAAATAATTGTTCAAATAACTTAAAAAAGATTGATTTAAAATTTTGATTGAACCTTGACTTAATGGTTACAAGAAAAGCACACAATATCTGTCTTATATCTCTTGACTTTTTTTTTAAACAGCCCATTCACTGAAGGATTCTCTTCCATTTACTTCCATGGTGTAATGAGTGACAGGTGTCCTCGCATGTCCCCACAGACCACCGACTTTTGACCATGACACAATTGTAGCATCACAACTGTCGAGGTGATAAGAAACTAACTTAACTAGGTTCTGTCAGAAATTTCTCTCCCTTGAGAATAATGCATTTGCCGCCAATGCATAGCTGTAAAGCTTAGCTAAGCTAATTGTCTCTTTGCTCCATGCAGCTCTGTACTTTACTCATTGACACAAGTGTTCATCTGTCACCTACTTACTGGCAAGAAAGGAAAGAAGCAAATGTACCCAAATGCCCTAAAAAACCATTATAAATAATTCTTGCTCTGTTGGCCCCACAGTGGTTGAACCATAAACCAACTCATTAACTAATGTATGCTAACATGTTCCCCAAAGTCAATCCGAGGTCTGGGAGGTAATTGGGTTTAGAACAACAGCTAAGAAACATAAGAATTCTCTATGTAATTCAAAATATGATATGAGTACCACTGGTGGTACGAGCGTTCTCTCCTGTGGTACAGTGGGAGTCTCTTATATGGTTTGCTCTTTTAAAAAATAAAAGTTTATAAAATAAAAAATTTCCAAACGCGAAATGCTTGAAAAGAAAGTAGGTCGGAAACTGAAACTGAAGTCAATGATAGTGAACCCAGCACAAGTGCAAAAGTCGACATTAGCAGTGCCAGTGACGCTACTAGCAACAAAACGATGCAAAACAGTAAGAGAATAAGACTCGAGTCACATCCAGTTTGGATTCTTTTGAAGTGGCACAGAGAATGAGCCCTGGGCTGTAGAGCATTGTGTGCAGTCACTAATAAATAATCCTAATAATGTAAACTGTATGTGTAGTTAAAACAGCCCTAAGCTACTGTATTGCAGTGTTGGCTATAATAGTGGTACTTGGAGAGCCAAATATTTTCTGTGTTGGTACTTTTTGTGAAAAGTTGGAGGACCACTGCTTTAGTACCTTCAAACCACAGATACCAAGCCTCTTGATAAATCGTCTTTTTGGTATTTTTATCAAAAATAAGTAAAAACATTGAAAAGGTTATGTCTTTCACCGAGGATAGACAAAGGAAGAGAAAAAAGGACTTAAGAAATGTCCTAAGTATCTCATGAAGCTCTGAGGAGACCTCAAAAAGCAGCAGGTGCAGCTCTCTACATGTAACTCTCTCATGAGAAACTGAACACTATGCCAGTGAGATGTAGCACTGTGGCTAACATGTATCAATGTAGGGCAGTCCATGGCCAAACAGGAATGGTTTACATTTTAGTCACTGCACCGGAGCACATTGATCACTTGAGGAACATAGTGGAGCACATGATGGATAAAAACTACAGAACATTGATGCCATGGTCAGGCACATCTCTACATCTGATACACAAAGCCACATGAGCTCACATGACAATGAAATATAATCAGACCTCAACGGTTCAATTAACGTTCAAAAATTCACCCAGAATCATCTCAGATAACAAGCGAGTCTCTTTCATTCATTCTGGGAATAGTTGGGGAATAGTGGAGATGTCTGAAAGTAATTTAAATTCAGATCAAAGCAATGAGAGCGATGGTTATTAGATGATAAGATTTGACAATGTTGGTGATGATGATGAAGTGTCACAAACCTGTGCCGGAGAGTTGACGACTGCCAAATTGTAGCCGTAGAGCATGGAGCTTCCAAATGAGGACAGAAAAGCCACTGCCAGCAATGACTTTGTAAGATGCTGGAGGAAAGATCGAAAAGAAAAAAAAAGTTTAAATGGCACCAAAACTACACACTAACATTTTTCACACTCTGCCTTTTACAACATTTAAAGATCTGGAAGAAACATCTGGACCAATTTCACATTATTTCACAGACAACAGTTATGAACTCCAGAAACAGTGTTAGCTTTAAACTGCTCGTCTTTGAAAGGATTTTTTAACTTTATAAGTCCATTGGAGTTTTCCATAGACAGAGGCAGCATGTAAACAAATACCTCAGATGTACATGAAAACAGTGAGCGGCTTTAGAGCTTAAAGTCCTACTTTAAAGTTTAAAGCTAGGTATTCCAAACACATGAGGCCTTTGGTTGTTTTCGTGGCAACTCAGCAAAAAGAAAATCACTCAAACTTAATTATCAAAACTAATAGACTAGTTAAAAATAAATATTGAGGTTTTGTCAGGTCTATTTTCTGCATCTCTAAACAGCCTTTAAGAAAGTTAGCTCACGCTGTAACAACATTAATAGCAGCATTATTATTACATGACATTAAAGTTGCATATGAGCCTGTGATCTGTGGATTTTGCAGCAGAGCTGAACAGGCAGAAAGCAGCACGTGACTTAATCAGAAGACGTGATGCAGGCCTGTTCACTGTACTAGAAACCTATTTAGCTCTGGATTAGGCACTTTGAATGAGCTCAACAAATCTACTGTAGTTTGCAGATTTGGTGAAGCAACTGTGTTACAGTTTGAGAAAGGACTTTTTCAATAGAGATTGTAGAGGTCAAATGAGGTATCTAATGTTACATCCAAAGACACGTACACGAGCCCCCTTTCAGTTTTTAAAGGGATGGAGGCATTATACTTTGTGAAATGGCCTGGAGCTACCGTCTTAACATTTTTATTCACACAAACTGAGTAAAGGAACTTCAGATGGATTATAACATGACTTGAAGGTCCATATGTTTGGCTGGAAAACTGCTAGCCTCAAAAATGATTACATTTTAACCAAACGGATTACAACTCTGATCATCTGAGTCAAGTAAGGGTTTACAAAGACCCCCTTTCTCACATATCATGGAGCTGAAAGAATCCACTCCGGATGTTTAAGTGACAGAAACAAGAGCACATAGAGGAGGACCCCTCTGCTCTGTCTGAACAATAACAGCATAGATGCTTAAATAAACCCAATTTCATCTTTAACGGCCTGGTGGAGACAGTTAGACTGCTTATGTGAAGGAGGCTCACAGCAGACAATGCTGCCCAGTCTGCATTCAATTTAAGGTCATTATCAGATGTGCAGCTCTTCACATGTTGCATTTCTTGAGTCAAAGCTTTGGGAAGTTTGAGACTTTCAAAATACTACTTTGGTATTTTTGTTAGTATGACTTTTATTAAGTTATTAAAGCTGATTAGGACTTGTACTATAGCTGTGAAATCTCACTGAAATATGGCTGTGAACCAGGGGGGTTGTCATATTTCCATGCAGCCTCTGGTATGTGATCCTGAAAAGTTGTGGACATTTTTAAAATATATATAGGTCGGCTATTCACTGGACCACAGTAGGCTTTTCTGACAGCACTACAAACAAGAAAGTCACTGGTTGGGTTAAATCGAGGTTATGTCAAGAGGAGCTAAAAAAAGAAATCAAATGATTGAAAAGTCGGCTTATTTTAGAACTACTCAAAGTGGAGAGCTGATAAACATTTCAATCATCAAATCTCAAATCAACACTCACCGTGCTGAACGTTGCAGCTTTTTCTACTAATAGTTCCTCCGCCATTTATGTCAAAAGTTATTAATCCCCGTATGTGCTCTGCCTGTTTGAGTCGAGGAAAAGCTCCAATGCACAACTTTTCTCATAACTCACTTCTCTAAGCATCTCTATTTGTAGTTCTCAGCCATGCGCGTGAGGCGGGGAGGAGGCTTATGCCGGATTTCGCCTGAACAGGAACCGGCACCTCCCAGATCGGGAACGGGACCATTCGATTGGATCCAGCACCACAAAAACGTTGGTGCAATATTTAATGTCATCTGGTCCGACATTTTTTTTTTTTTATTTGCATAACTGGGAATCTCATTTGTTTGAAAGAGGGAGAGAGCGAGAGGTCAGGTCATGTAGGGATGCCTGAAGCGGGAGTTTTGTTAACTTTACGAGAGCTCAGGTGATGTGTTATTGAATGCGATTTTGGCCAGGTCGAGGGATCAGTGGTTGTTTTTATGGGCTGTTTTGTCCGAATCTACAGGAAGACGTTTTAATGTTATTCTCTGCTGTGCTGCTGTGTAATATTGATAATTATAAAGAGTGATGAGTGTGGTGATGGAATTGTTGCTGTTTCTGAAGGGACACGGAAGTCATGCACAATTAAAACCATCAGCTTATTTATAAAATGTAGCTTACAAACTAATAGCTCCTGCAGAGTGCAGGCCTGCAACTCACTTTCATAGCGTTGCGCAAACGCTGAAATGTCTCTTGAGAGGTTTTCAACATAATCAAATACGTTTGATCATCCTGTTTGACATATCAGCAAAACTAGATGTTGCCCTAGATTTTGAAGTTTTAGTTTATTATGATTCTAATAACTACAGAACAACCCCTGAAAGGGAGAGCGAGTTGTTACAGACGAGCGAGAGTGAGCGAGTGAGTGTGTGTGCCATTACGCACAGAAGAGAGACTTGAAACTTTGCGCACAGAGCTGGAGGGATATGAAACAGAAACGTAAATCTACCATCTGCTCTAAAGTAATTGAGTCTACCAGAGAAGATTGTGACGGCACACAGTAGGCTAGTCTCTGTTAACAGATTGATGCTGTCCAAACAGCTCCCACGTGCGATGAGTGCGTGCGCACTAATCGCACAAATATTTACAGTCTATGGTGCGCATTGATGTCTGCGCGTCCGCTCGTCACCCTCACTGCTCTAGTTATTTTGAACTTTAAACTGATGACAGGTCGGTGGGAATTTTAATGTGAGGCTGGCTGGCTGTTGAAGTTTGAAATGTTCTAATCATGAAATGTTAATAAGTAGCCTATTACTAATAATTATTAACAAACCAGATGATTTAAATTAATAAATAATATATGACTTCGCGAAACACATAGAATTACGTCATCATATAGAATGACTTACAGATAACGTCATTAAGAGAGAGCGCGAGGGAAACGGATGCACACAGTAATTGCATGCACTTCTCTTTAGTTCATTTTGAGAGATTATTGTGAATACTCCGGGGTGCCCGCCAGGCCGGAACAGCACCCTTTCTATGCTCTGGGAACTCAGGGATTTAAAAATCCACTGCTTGCAGTGTTGACGGATAGAATTAACAAGCTTGTCAAACTCCCAGCCCCCAATCACCGTATAGTGCTGATCAGTACAGACTCAGCCCTGATCGTTATCCTCGGTCCATCAGCGATCACATGAGCCAAGTGGGCTCACCCTGCGTCCCGAAGTGCCTGCAGTTGTTATTAAACAGCCTATGACTAACTGTATCAAGGGGCGGTAAAAGAATAAGTGTTCCCTGGTTCGGACAGGGGCACCTTCACACTGAGAGGTGGGGTATCTCAGCACTTTTATTGCTCAATTATTTTATATGTAGATTTAGGATAATTAGAGATCAAATTTGATAAACTAACTGAATATAAAAACTTTGATGACCTTATTAGCCTATTTGATGTGTTTTACGCTACACATATTCCTTAAAGGAATGAACACAAACAGGCTGAAAATATGAAGTTACTTAGGTTCAAAATGTAATGGTGAATTTCTGCTCAGATAAATGAGTTATTGTATGACTCATGAAAGAATGAAACATACATAAATCAGTAACTATATGATTATCATAGTATAATATATGAATTGTTACGAATGTTTGTATTAAGTGATTAATTCACCACTGACTTATGTTATTAATTAATACTGTTAATTAATGTGTTAATTAACAGAATGAGCCAAAGCTATGGATTTCAACTGGGATGCCCCATGTAATTCATAATTACTTAATGATTGTTCCCCACCAAGTAAAGTCACAACATGATTCATTAATCATTGGCTAATGATGAATTCAAACAAATGACAACATTAGTTTGAAAAAAAGTTATTTAATTAACATTGGTTTTGCAACAGTTTTCAAATGCCTTCAACAGAGAAACAAAAACAGGTAGAATCCTTGAAGTTTGGAAGAAGACAAGTGAATTAATCTTCAAATGAAATGAGAGACAGCGTAAGGTTCAGGTTCAGGCTGTTGTGTCTTTTGCTGCCTCCCGAATAAAGGCACTGAAAACAACAACAAAAAACAAAAATCAATATATCACTGAATGCATGGCTTAATTCTTCATGAGTCATTCATCAACTCGTGATTATCTGGGAGTTAATTCACCATCAATACATGCAAATGAGCGGAACAGTATAAGCTCTGATTGGAGGACTCACATGGGTGACAAAAGACTGCTTGTAAGTTTATATCAGACCACAATGATGTCTTGGAAATACTTTGACTGATAAATGAAATAATAAAGAGTAATTCATATCAGGTCTCAGTGAGTTCTCTGTTTGCTTATAAATGATTGGATTCCCTCACGATTGCAATCAAAATCAAAAGTAGTTACTCCAGCCTCTAAGAGAGCCAATGCACGTACAGTACCTTATTTCCACCTAAAGGGTTTTCCACTTTTGGCATCTAAGTTAGCAGTGCTCTCATATGGAAGGCTAATATTTGTTTAAAAATAATTTGTGCCTAATGCAAACTGAGCTGTTACATTATTTACTCATGATTGGTGGGAGTGTCAATGACTTAAAAACACTCATTCTTAAGGTAACAACTTCCTGCAAGCTTTTATTTTGTTTGTGCCATTTTAATACTAAGGGTGTTTTGGTATTGACCTGGCGGAAATGGAGATTTCACAACGAAAAGTGTTTGAATTGACATATACACAAAGGAAACAGGTAAATTGACCGGAGCAGAGAACGAGAGGAAAGAAACTTCTGGTAGCTGGCACTGTTTATGGCCATCCCACAACAAATTCTTGACTTCTTGTTGCAGGAGTCCGATTTGGAAAAAAACTACCATCACTAAACTGTAGACCATGTAAGGTCTCTGAAGCTAGTGCTGCCCCCTTCCCAGTTTATCCATTGCGCCCATTTGTCCTAAATGTCCTTTCAACCTGGGGTTACCAGGAGCTTGATCAACATTCAACATCAGTTCCAACAGGCCACAGACAGAGTCCCCATACTATATTAGCTCTTCCCATTCTCTGTTCAACATAGGCCCTTGTAACACCATAACTTTTTTGACTGGTATTCTCCTCTCTGAAAACAAACTCACCACACATTTTCCTGTGGTGGATTAGTTCTCAAACATACTTCTTCAAACAAGTGCCATATAGCAGAAAGCTCCTCCCTCATTTTTTTGTTTGTTTATTGTTGCCTTATACTAAAATTAATGTGCCAGTGTTTCTTCTCCTCCTAAGTTTAATGTAGGTTTTTGAATTTAGAACCATAAGAAATTACTAACATTGCCTCATTCAAACTTATTCTCCCTCCTGCTATTTCCTGCTCCTGTCCCCCGCAACAACCTCTGATACAAAACCAATAAAACATTAGACCTGTGCTCCAAACTTTAACCCAACAAGACTTCAAGTGACTATACTTTTATCACTATAATTTACCTTGGCCTTCAAGCTGCTCTAGTGTAAAAAAATCAATGAAACAAGACAAGAAAGGCTCGAGAAACACTGTGCAATAGACATTACATTTTGAGCATCTAAGTGTGACATATGAATTATAGTTGATGGTTGTACTCAGATAACCCTATAAGGAAAAATCTTTATTTGTTGTATTACTTGAAAAAAAATTGTTGTCTAACTCTAACCCTGTTTGCTAGTTGTGTACTTACTCTTCCATCATAAAGGACTGTTTTCAATCTATTTCCTGCTTTATCAGACGCAAATGAAAGCTAAAATACTTCATATGTCTTTTTTTATAGTACAATGGTGCTCCTTTCATCTCTTTAAACTGCATAGTTGGATATTTCTATTCACCTAGGGACAGAAAAAGCTGTAAACACAATACTGTAATCTCCATTCAAAGTTGTTGTGGTAGCAACAATACCTCATAGTGGTAGCTGCCCATTGACTTTCATTTGGTTTCATGCTTAAATCTTCATGGGGAAGGTACTGTATTTCCACTTTTTTTTAAGCTGTCTTCACCAACTCCTGAGTAAAATACATCTGGCTCTTCAGCTGCCACATATTCCAGCATTGTCATGCCCATTAAAACCAGTAACTGGACTCCTGTTCAAACAGGTATGTTAACTGATTTTGCAAGGAATCAACAAAGTCAGCAGACCTTTAAGAACCACAGGTCTTAAGCATGCATGGCACGATCAGAACATTTACCAGTTATCCAGCGTCCAGGTTGGCAGCAGAGGTAAGGGGCTCAATATTTTACTTGTTGATGGGAAATAGCTTTCTAAGGCAACATCCAGAACCTCTGCTTTATCCACATTGACCTATAAAGACTTTAAATCCTTTAGATCCGTATGTGAAAGAAAATACCATAAAGGCCTCAAAGATTCTGAGAAAGGTAAAGTTGTATATCATCTGCATATAGATGATTTGTTATAATAAACTGTTGCATTATGTTCTGATATGTGCTTTTTTATTCATTTCATCCTTCTTTGACAAAGATGCCCTCTACATTTGGAAAACCAGTGAGGCTCATGTGACTCTTTGGATTCTGGGTAGTTATTTCTCTGCATAACTCATATCCCTTCACACAGCTTTCCCACAGTACAGGCTAGAT